GCTACTGTAATGTGCTGCAGTGCCCTTGGGTTGCTCCAATAGCTGAGCTAAAGTTCTGCCAATGTATTTGTCCTCCTTTTAAGCAGGATGCAATGTACTGTCTTTGCGTCCAATTCAGATTTTAAGTCAGAGAAAGTATGGTCTTTGAATAAAAGGGGGGTTGAATCAAGCCTCAGGAGGGTTCAGTTCTTATTCATTGTGTGAACTCTATCTAATGAGTGACAGCTGAAGAGTGCTGTTTTTTCAAGGTCATAACTGTGCATGTAACAATTCTCCCACTCATATTTTCAGACCTTCCTTTAACACTTCTATTGTGCAGGTGTGCTGTTACGAGAGAGGCTATTTATTCAGGTGTTGGAAATGCTTTCTTTAATCAGAAGCCTGTACTGTGATTGCAGAGAATATACTAGGCAATAGATGGCAGGAATCCAAAATGGGTCAGACACACTTCTGTACTGCTGTGTGATGTACATACACCTACCTTCTGCCTGCTTTGGCATTTACTGCGTATTACGTGCCACGTGAGTCACCAACAAACATTGCTACCTGCCCCCCTTCCTACTCATGGTACCAACCAGGTCACAGCTGTAAGCACAGAGATGGCAACACTCGTCAGGTCTCATTCCCCCCGCGCTGCCGGGGAGCAGAGGGAGCGCAGCTGGGCTGTCGCATGGTGGTGGTCTCTTAGATCAGGGACGCTCATCCCACAGCCCACCAGCAGTACCTGCCTTACCAGGATGATGACCCTGGCTTGCATGCCTCCTGAAGAACCCCCTTATTCCAAGCTGCACATAGGGAGAAAGCTCCAGAAGGAGCAGTTCTCCATCGTCTCTGTTTGCCTGTCACTGTACTGTAGTTTGCACAGGCGCAGTGCAAATGTTACACACCTGCGTGTCAGTCCAACACCCCAGGAAGCATCTGGCTTGCTGTGTGAGGACAGGTGGCCTGTCATCTGTCAGGAGAAGGTCCCTAACATGTAGTGCTCTCTTGAGAGTGTGTTAGAAAGGTTAAGCATCCCTGCTGAGCTTGCACGCTCCTCTAGGTCAGGACTGCAGCCTGCCTCTCTCTCTCTCTCTCTCCTCGGAGCCTGCCAAGTGCACTCTGTGCATGGCTGGGCTTTGAATGACCTGGGTTGTCCCCGTCTCCGCAATACCTTGTTCAGCAGCAGGTCTGACACGAAAGCTACCTGTTCACACCCTCCAGTTGGGAGCTCCCAAGTGTGCCCGGGCTGCCTTCCCAAGCTTGCAGAGTTCTCAATCTGTGTTTAAATCAGTGGTTTAAGCAGAAGCTTAAAGCATGAATAAAACAAACATTTGTAGACCAGGCTCTCAAAAGTCTGGAGTGGCACTTCCCTGGGGCATCCCCAGGTACCTTCTGGGGATGCTGTAAGGGTGCTGGGTTTGTGCCTGTACTTTGTGTCATTGGGATGTGATGACCCCTGAAGCAGAGTCACACTCCCCAGGTACGTGACTGACCAGGAGCAGAGTGGAACCAGCAAGCACACAGTAAGAAGCCAGTTTACTCTGCCTCTGTTCTGTTGAGCCACGAGTGTTGCTGCTTCTCTGCCTGAGCCTCCTGGTCGTGTTGGGTGGCACCACCATAGCAGGAGCTCTTTGGTGTAACTACTTTGTGCAGCTCTCACTGGCAAAGGGATGGGCTCAGAGTTGGTACCTGTTGCTCTTTGCTTCCTCACCCTACCAGACCCTCCTGGTAATCAGAGTCATTTCTTCCCCCCCACACATCCAAAACCACCTCTTCTCTGGCATTTTCTCTCACTAAGTCACGAAATACTTCTATTAAACCATCCTGCAGCCCTTCTCTTGCCTCCCCACGAGCTGGAGGTGCTTCAGAGCTCCTCTCTGACTGACAGACATGGGGAGAGCAGGGATGGCAGAGAAGGGGCTGCAGAACAGCTCTGTAAATTGTACTTCCCCCCTCTAAATGGGAGCTGCTCCTGGTGCTGCTGCCCTTCTCTGCTCTGCTCCCCACCTTTGCACCGGCTGTCTCTCCCTGTCCCACACTGCCTGCTCCTGGGGCAATCCCTGCTCCAGGGGGACTGCATGCCGGTGGGACACCTTTGCACATCTGCACTCAAAACAAGTTTTGGAAAAAACAGTCTCTGTCCTGCCAGCCTCTGCTTAGAGGCAAAAGAAGAAACCTCCTGTGCAGCTGACTGGAAGGTGCAGTCACCTCTGGCAGAGTTGTAGCCACCTCGGTGTGTGATGGTGCCTCTGTGGTTGCCTCTCTTTGCAGGGCACTTGCCTCTGTGTGCTACTGCCAGAGAGGGGGTGAAGGGAGCTCGCTTTGCTCTCTCTCATCTCTGCCTTGCTCAGACTTTCTGGTGCCTGGATGAACAGGGAGCTGCTGAGATGCTTGGGTGATACAAGGGAAGGGAAAGGATGCTTTCTCTGCTTGCACAATCAGGCCTGGCATCGCTTGGCCTCAAAGTGGAGTTGTTGAGTTAGTGAAATTTCCATCAGACACTACAGCAGGAAAGGCAGAAACAGTTAACTGGTTTCTCCTCTCATCAGTCTTTCTCCAAGATTTGTGGCAAGGAGTTAACTGTTTCCATTTCAGCAACACAATGCACTAGTGCTGTGTTTGAGGACAGATCTTAGTTGGTGTTTCTGTTAAACGCCTTCAGAACCCACCGACTTCAGAGTTCTTCTAACAGGTAGTAAACGTGCTGCCTTTACAATTTTCTTACATCTTCAGTTAGAAAACTGAAGAGCAGCTTCAAATTAAAACATGAATAGCTCTTTTTAGCACTGCTCACACCCTGTACCACGTCCTCAATGAAGCTTTGCCATGTGAGTCTTCCCCTAAACATGTCCTTGTTCTCATGAGCTTGTTCTCATTTCTGTGGACTCTTAGGGTGGGAATCGTAAATTTCTCATGCCCTCAGTATTCCATGCATTTACTCAGCACACTGTACATGTGCAGTGTTTTCAGGTGTTAGTGCCAGTGTTATCCCCAGAGCAGACTGACACGCTCAGACCCGATGTCAGCCCACTGACCCCAGCAGGGCTGCAGCACCCAGTGCTTTGGCTGGTTCTGTGAAGCGCTGTCACCGGTGCCACTGCTCTACCCAACTGATGGCAGATCTCTCGAGAAATGCGTGTCACCATTGCTAATGTGGATTGCACACTGATTTTAACCATGTTCTTAGAATGACAGCATTAGGTCTGTAATTACAATGTAGTGTCCTTAGGGAGCTGGTGCAAGTATGTGCAGAGCACTTACTGAGTGATTTTTCTTGTCTGTGCGTGTAAGACTTTTCCCTTGTTTCAGAGACATACAAAGGCAAGCTTAGCCACAGATGGCTTCATAACAACAACTTCACCTGATAATCTTGAGAGGGTCTTGGTCAGTTCCTAGGGGACAGGTGTTGAAATCAGAGCTTGTCATTACTGTGGAGATCCAAGCAACCTCTAAGGAATTAATGGAGAGGAAACTACCTCCTCATCCCTGCTGGCTGGGTCTCTTCAGGTCAGGGCTGAGACTCATCAATACTGTGGAACAGAGATGCTTGCCTTTGCCCTGCATCCTCTGTGGGTAAATACAGGACTTAACTTGCCGGTTCTCTGAACTCTAAGTCTGAACTATTAGCCAATCTTCAAATTTTAATTACAAGCCAGGGAGGGGAAAAAAAAACCAAAACACCAACAACACAAAGAACATCAATTCATATGCAGAGTGGTAATTGCATGTGTGGTGCTCAATGGCAGGCTTCTCTTCATGTTTGATTAAAATTTTTTCTATGAAGTCATTGCTTGAAAACATCTAGAAATTGTAGACTATTAACTATTATTGCTGCTTGCCATTTTACACGGCACAAAGACACAACCAAACTGTCTTGTACTGCACCCTTTAAATACCGATTCCCCTTGGTTAGATTGCTCTTACTTTTCCCCAACTCGTTCTGCCTGTCCTTGAGATTGCTGTCAGTTACCCTGAAGCCGGAGGTGTTAAGCCAGGGAGCAAGCTGTGATGTTTGCCCACCCAGGCTGTGCTGGGATGGCAGCTCTGAAGCCCAGTGTGTAACTGCAGAAGTGGTGCTCCACAAGCAGTTCCCTGGTGCCAAGGTGTCTTGCTGACAGCCCTCAGACAGCCCCTTCTGGGAGGAAAAGCCTGCTCAGTCCTCCCTCTCTGAGACAGTAACACCGCTGCGATGCTCGTGTGCCACCTGCGCGTTTTGAGCTGTGGATACCTGTGTGCTGGAAACGGTGCCTCACAGGTGCTCACACCCAAGCCTGAAGCATCCTTTCCTTTCCCATTTGGGGTCTCTTTTGCTTTTCTCATCCCCAGCATCTCTATATTCTCTTTGTCTCTTTTTTAAGTAGGAAATTTCGCTGAGGGCTATGCCTGTGAGCAGCGACTTTCTTCCAACCCCTGTAGCTGCACTCAGGGATCTCAGTATCAGCGTTGCCTTTGCAGGGTGCTGACCCCAAGGTTGAACTTTCTAGATACTGTCCTGCTCCATCAGCCGTGGGGACAGGCTCCTGAGTAAAACAACTTCTGACAGTGTGATCCTTCCCCAGCCGAGCTCCTTACTGGTGGCACGTTGTTCCTAGAGCCGACCCTGCCCCAGGATTTGCACCAGAAAAACTCAACAGCTACACTTCTGATTACTGCTGGCCCGGCACCGAGTGACAGGGATCCTTGGTACCGCTTTGTCTTCAAATGGCCCAAGTGATGGGGGCAGAAACTTCCCGAGGGGCTGAGGCTCTGAATGCCGAGTTCAAAGTCAAAGCGCCCGAACCCGGCTGGGAAAAGCGACCGCGGGGGTGCGAGGGCAGAGCCCGGGGAGGGAGAAGCGGCGTGGGGAGCGGCGTGCCGGGGATGCTGTCTAAGAATCCCCCGTGCTAATCCCCACCGGGAAGGGCGAAGGACGCGTCCCCGGCGCCTTCCGCAGCCCGAGGACGCCGCAGGGCGGGAGACGCTACCGGCGGCTCTGCGGGACACCCCTACCCCCCCGCAACGCCCGGGGCGGCACTCACCCGGCAGCCCCAGGCAGAGCAGCAGGCTGTAGTAGACGACGGGTGCGTATCCCAAGCCGCAGCCATAGCGGTGGTGCGCCAGGAGGGAGCCGTTGTGGAGGTGGAGGTGGTTGTGCTCCATGGACCCGCTCTTCCCCGCGGCCGCGGTGCCGGCGTTGGC